TCAATCTGGGATCTCTCAAACACACAGAGAGCATGTCTGTAGTACATGTACAGTATTCTGTGGTGTGATGCATGTCATCTACTGTTCCATAGAGCTTGCTTTCCATCGAAATGTCACCTGTGTCAATCTCTAACACACAGAGAGCATGTCTGTAGTACATGTACAGTATTCTGTGGTGTGACGCATGTCTTCTACTGTTCCATAGAGCTTGCTTTCCATGGCAATGTCACCTGTGTCAATCCCTAACACATAGAGAGCATGTCTGTATCTCTCAAACACACTTCTGTTCCAGAGCTTGCTTTCCAGCATGTCTGTAATACATGTAGAGAGCATGTCTGTAGTACATGAACAGTATTCTGTGGTGTGACGCATGTCTTCTACTGTTCCATAGAGCGTGCTTTCCATCGCAATGTCACCTGTGTCAATCTCGGATCTCTCAAACACACAGAGAGCATGTCTGTTGTACATGTTCAGTATTCATGTGGTTACTGTCCACGTGGGCAAAGTTCTGACTCCACAAACCTGAATTTCTGGTACAAATGACTGCAGAGTCTGTTGTGCCCAGTTAAAAAAGTTAGTTGCGAATCCTTTACAGGACGTTGCAGAACCAATCCCAGCAATTTTTTTTTTTTAGCTGCTATGGTTTTTCTAAGACAATTTTTATGTTCAGTAGTTTGCCATTGCTTTCTGAAACGGTCAGCTCTCTGTACCACTGCCGAAACCAACGCAAGACGTTCTGCTTCCAAATCGCTCGCAGCTGGTATCGAACCCGGCACACTGGCATTATGAAGCGCATTCGTTATGCCTAAGCCACAGACGCCGACACCCAGTACGCAATCTAAATATAATGGTCTGTTTCTTCTGTGTGGGGATGTTGATTGGGTCTTCATGATTTTATTCTGGATGGGAAGTGTTCCAGTGGGTTCTAATGGCTGCCTTGATCTTCTGAGTTTTATACTTGACAATTCAAAGATGACTATTTATCTTGTTACTGTCTGTAAACAGTACTCTGATTCATCACCTACATTTTGCTGTCACATCTTGTTATATCTGTATAATTTACTCAGTGTTTCCTGTATTATCTAGAAATATAACAATTTGCAATACATTTTTTAACTTGCTTATTTCGTTGCTTTGTTCAGCTAGAAATTGGATCTTACGTAGTTTAAACTTGATATTGCAGCCGCAGCATGCAGAACTGAATACAAATGGACGCTAGACAGCGGCGCCGTTCGGAACAGAGGCAAATTTTTTGCTTCTGCCGGACGGTGGCCGATGCATTTTTGCTCCATTTGTAGACTGGATATAGTTTCGTTGCCCAGCTTCTGAGTTGAATGCATGGCGTGACCCTGTGAGCTGCGGATTGCATTTGGAATGGTTTTTTTTTCGACTGTGACCAACGTGGTGGTGTGCAGAATTGTAGATTCAGAAAATGGCGCGATGCCTGTCATTCAATGCTTGCGGGACCCGTATTAAAATTGATCACGCGGACAACTGCTGATCTGTTGACGACAAGTTTTGCTATCATCAATGATGAACTGCATTTCTAATGTTGGACTGTTTGTGTTAGCACTTCGGATGGCTACCATATGCTTTAATGCGAGTGTATGCTAGATATGCTGAGACAGCAGTCTGTCAATCTTTCCACAATGGACTGTGATAGACATTCTGAGTGTTTTTCGCTGGCACAGGAGCGGAGCAAAGATGGGGCAACCCGTTTGCTATGAAGCTGAAACTAAGACTACCAGACCAGAACTGAATACAAGCACTGATGTTTCTTCTTCTGCTTCTTCTTCCTAGTGCTCACCAGCTGTAAACTCCAGCAGAAAGTTGTCCATTTAGTGGACTTTGGTCTTGTTCCAAAACTTGAGTTTTTGCATACGCATCTGTCTCAGATATGGCCTGTTTATATACAGACTGTTGGTTCCTCACCTCTCAGGCAGATGCACTCCAACTCTGAAGGAAACATCCCTAATTGGTTGCCCTTTATGACATGATTGTTGGAGGGGGAGGAAGGGCAGTGGGTCAGTTTTTCACACCACTATCCCCTCACCCAAATGGGGTCCCAGAACACACACGAGCAAAACAGTGACATTTTATCATTTAAAACTGACTTGGGACTGAGCATGCAGTACTGTGAATAGAAACTGTCACTGTAAACTGCCGTAGCTGCCTGTAATTACCACTTTCTATAGCTGCCTGTAATTATCACTTTCCATAGCTGCCTGTAATTACCACTTTCCATTAGCTGCCTGTAATTACCACTTTCCATAGCTGCCTGTAATTATCACTTCCCATAGCTGCCTGTAATTATCACTTTCCATAGCTGCCTGTAATTATCACTTTCCATAGCTGCCTGTAATTATCACTTTCCATAGCTGCCTGTAATTACCACTTTCTATAACTGACTGTAATTACCACTTTCTATAACTGACTGTAATTACCACTTTCCATAGCTGCCTGTAATTACCACTTTCCATAACTGCCTGTAATTACCACTTTTCATAACTGACTGTAATTACCACTTTCCATAGCTGCCTGTAATTACCACTTTCCATAACTGCCTGTAATTATCACTTTCCATAGCTGTCTGTAATTACCACTTTCCATAGCTGTCTGTAATTATCACTTTCCATAGCTGCCTGTAATTACCACTTTCTATAACTGACTGTAATTATCACTTTCCAAAGCTGCCTGTAATTACCACTTTCCATAGCTGCCTGTAATTATCACTTTCCATAGCTGCCTGTAATTACCACTTTCTATAACTGACTGTAATTTTTACTTTCCAAAGCTGCCTGTTTTTACCACTTTCCATAGCTGCTTGTAATTATCACTTTCCATAGCTGCCTGTAATTATCACTTTTCATTAGCTGTCTGTAATTACCACTTTCCAAAGCTGCCTGTAATTACCACTTTCCATAGCTGCCTGTAATTATCACTTTCCATAGCTGCCTGTAATTATCACTTTCCACAGCTGCCTGTAATTACCACTTTTCATAACTGACTGTAATTACCACTTTCCATAGCTGCCTGTAATTACCACTTTCCATTAGCTGCCTGTAATTATCACTTTCCATTAGCTGCCTGTAATTACCACTTTCCATTAGCTGCCTGTAATTATCACTTTCCAAAGCTGCCTGTAATTACCACTTTCCATAGCTGTCTGTAATTACCACTTTCCATAGCTGCCTGTAATTACCACTTTCTATAACTGACTGTAATTATCACTTTCCAAAGCTGCCTGTAATTACCACTTTCCATAGCTGCCTGTAATTATCACTTTCCATAGCTGCCTGTAATTACCACTTTCTATAACTGACTGTAATTATTACTTTCTAAAGCTGCCTGTAATTACCACTTTCCATAGCTGCTTGTAATTATCACTTTCCATAGCTGCCTGTAATTAACACTTTCCATAGCTGCCTGTAATTACCACTTTCCATAACTGCCTGTAATTATCACTTTCCATAACTGACTAATTATCACTTTCCATAGCTGCCTGTAATTATCACTTTCCATAGCTGCCTGTAATTACCACTTTCCATAGCTGCCTGTAATTATCACTTTCCATAGCTGCCTGTAATTATCACTTCCCATAGCTGACTGTAATTATCACTTTCCATAGCTGCCTGTAATTACCACTTTCTATAACTGACTGTAATTATCACTTTCCATAGCTGCCTGTAACTACCACTGTTTGGTGTAGGGAGGGGAGTCTTTGAATCTGACGATTTTGAAAGCTGCCTGGCTAGTGTTGTCACCAGGGACTGCAGGTTAGGATTTCATCTTGTGAATACAAACACTGACATTTGATCAAGTGGTGGTCTTTCTTCTATCTGAGCAAGTAGAGTGCTTTTGTTGACTGTATTGTGTTGAAAGTACATTAAAGCTGGACATTAGTTTAATGTGTTCATCATGTAGCAGGGCCCTGATAGAACATGGCTCTGGTCACAGCCTGCATTCCCTGTGTGTGATGGCAATCACAGAGGCTACAGTCAGATTCCCTGGATGAACTAAACGACAATGTATATTGATGATCTCTTTTGATGATTTGTTTTTGTGTCATGTATCTGTCTTCTTCTTTGTTTACCGGCTGTCAACTGGTGGAAAGTCCTGGTTATTTATCTGTTTGGACTTTGGCTTTGTGCCAGGGCCTGAGTTTTGCATGTACATCTGTTTTACTTGCTTATTTGTATGCAGTTAGTCGTTCCTAGCTGCTCGGGCATTTGCACTCTGACTTCAAAGGAAGCTCTCAGATGACATACTTGTTGGGGAGGCAGTGGGTCTATTCCTGTTTTCCTCACAGTGGTGGCCCCTGAACCCACACGGGGAGCTGTCTTTTTGAGTGTGATCGTAGGAAAGATCCCAGGTCTGGCTGGCTGGCATTTCAGTGGAAACCAGGCTGTATGAAACAGTGGATACCTGTGTCGCACCACAGACTTCATAGCGGCGGCGTATGGCCTTCTCATCTGAACACCACTGGCAGGGAGAACGAAACTGGAAGTTCTACCCACAGTATTCTTTTTTGTTGTTTTTTTGTTTACTTGAAATAAATTATCTAAATTGGCAATGCCGTCCCTAGTATTAACTTCACTGTCTTTTGTAATTCACTTAGCGGCCCCTAAAGTTTGGCTTCCACTGATGTCTCTCTTGGCCAGAAGTTTTGCCTGGAAAAGTTGTGTTTGGGACAGTCTTGGAGGATGTGATCTGTTGCCTCAGGTGCAAATCCACTTGTGCAATGGCTAATTCGCCAATCTTAAATGCTGTTTACATGTGGCTACGTATCAATTGTGCCCTGTCCTGAGGTGTAGAAGATTGACTTGCTCTGGTCTGTCCATAATGTGGTAATCGTCTTGTGCTAGTTTTGCTACCCACAAAATATGTTCTAGTCATTTGTTTTCCAGCAAATTATTTCATTGTCTGGCAGAAACTTGTGGTAGGTCCTGGCCACTTCACCCAGGCACACGTTCAGAGAAATATTTAGGACTGTACATCTGTCACAGCGATATCCATTCCTGTGTGGGGATGTCTAGAACCACTTCTGTGTCTGGGTCACACCTGTAAATCAGCATTTAAAACACAGGTTAGTGATCTATACTGTATTCCTTTTTGTCTTATTTTTACTAGCTTATCTATCCTGAGGTGTAGAGGTTTGCCAGACTTCTCTATCAGCAGTTTTCTTTTAGACTTTGTTCCATTCCAGTCCCCTGTCATCACAGACTGTCAGGTGGTATCTTCCCATCAAACCCTTAGTCATCCTGGTGGTCTGGCTCCATGGGTCTTGGCCTGCCATGGTGGTGGATTCTCTCTCATTCTGCTGACACGTCCAAACTATGACATCTTAACACTGATGAAATGACATTTTTCCCTAGCTAAACTTAAAATTTTTAATTTTAGTGTAAAATCGGTACTGTTGTATGAAACAGAAGCATGAAAAGCTACTGAGGCAATTACTAATTAACTACAAATATTCATTAACTGGTGCCTGCGCAGAATAGAGGGAACTGAACAGTATGATAGACTCACTAATGTAAAGCTTTGGGAGAGAACTAAACAAGTTCCAGTGGACCAAGAGGTGAAGAAAAGATGCTGGCATTGGATAGGACACATGGTGAGAAAACCTGATAACAATATAACTAGAAAGTCTTTTCACTGGAACTCACAGGGGGACTGAAATAAAGGAAGACCAAAACATACATGGAGAAGGGAGCTAGAGAGAGAAGTTAAAAAGAGCTGCCTGCAATAGCGAAGGATAGAATATGACTTGGCGTGAGTTGGTTGAGGGCCTATGCTCCGCTGGGGGATGAAAGAAGGCAGAAGAAGAATCTGACATTCCATGTTTCCTGGACTGCACAAGTAAACAGTTACATCTGAACACCGATGGGGATTTTAAGTGGGACACTCACTTTTCTTTTGCTGGGAAGATTTCTGGAAATAACTGCAGACGTAAATTTGACTTTGGATGTTTAATGAGCTCTGCCACTTCCTGCTGCAGTTTCTTGTTTTCTTGAATGAGATTTTCCTGCTCTATCTTGTGAACTTCTATCTCCTGGAGACAAAAAGTTTCCTTTGTTGGTTGCAAATAAATCACAAAATATTTGACAGAAAAGTGCCATAGGTAGGTAGTTGTACCCGACCAGGACATCACACAAGCGATAAACACCCGATGACACAAAGTGCCACCATGCGGAAAATGATCACCCATGGAGAGGTCCCAGAAACCCCTTTCAGCCTAAAAGCCAGATCTATGCCCCGGCTATATTTAGGGCTCCCGGCAGAAGCCAGGGTGGGGCTTCAAATTAAAAAAAAAATTGCATCCTACATGGGGACGACTTTTAAGTGTATAAAAGTGCCATAAAAATTACTGCAATTAAAACACCTTTAAAAAAATGGTTCATCATCATCATAAACCACTTCTGTCGTTAAGCGTCGTGGGGAGAAATAATTTGCGATCCAGTGGCTGCCACCGGCTATTGTCATGCCGTGAAGGCGTAGAGTGTCTTTAATGTTGTTGATTCATGTTTTCCGCGGCCGTCCTCTTGCTCATGTAGTTGATCTCCTGAGATGTAGTGCTTGTGATGGTATTTGATCTTGCTGCATTCTAACGAGATGGCCAAAAGACTTGATCTGCTGTTTCTTGATGAATCTAGTACAAGGTGTCGTTCACACAATTTGCCTGATAGTTTCATTATTCACTCGATCTCGTATGGTTAGGTAAAAATGGTTAATACGGAAATAATAAATGGTGACACAAAACAATTATAACAAATGAATAATATTTAAATAATGGGGACACTATTTACTGTTTGCATTATTTCGCTGCATTACATCAGGTGCATTATTGCAGAGTTAAAACAGCATATAGTGAAGCATAAAAAATGACTGCTTTTCGCTGAAATGCATTGCAAATCCAAGATCAGCCATGTGACTATCATGGCAACTTCAGATTTATGTCTTTTTGTTTACATAAAAGTGATCTTAAATTTCAGGCTGAGAGATGTATAGTAACTTGGCAATATGATTTTTGCATTTTACGAAAAGCTTTTATTTTTTAGGCAATAAATTGTGCAATGTATTGTTTTTGTCTGCATCACTTAAATTTACAGTGGGAAAACATTGTTTTTAAATGAATAATAAATATTTAATTAATTAAAATAGTAGTAATGTAATTTGGGGAAAGAAAATTGGTAGTGAAGGAATAATAACCAAGGACTTCAACAATGGAATAAAGTATCTAAGTAGATGTTTAGCTGTTTATATCTAAAGTCATGTGGATGTGGAAGGCAAGGGGAAACTACCATAGTACTAACCCAAGAAGCTCATCATGGAGTTCTCCTCCTGAACAGCGTACAAGGGATAGAAAATTTAATCATGTCTATCCAAAAGCACAGTGAAGATCAAAATCTGTTCTTGAATTTAAAGAAAACGAAAATAATGTCCACAGATAAAACTGGCTGTCACCCAAAAAAATAACAATAAATGATGAAAATATTGAAAATGTCACAAACTTTGAATATTTAGGCTCTATAATAAATAGCAATGGAAATTGTCTGACAGAAATCAAAAGGAGGACGGCCGTAACAATACAAAGATTAAACAGCATTTAAAGTCTATAGCTGAGCACCGGCAAAAATAAATTCTGAAAACATACATCTTCCCTGTAGCAACATACGGATGTGAGTCGCGGACTATCTACCATCTTCCCTGTAGCAACATACGGATGTGAGTCGTGGACTATCTCCCATCTTCCCTGTAGCAACATATGGATGTGAGTCGTGGACTATCTCCCATCTTCCCTGTAGCAACATACGGATGTGAGTCATGGACTATCTCCCATCTTCCCTGTAGCAACATTTGGATGTGAGTCGTGGACTATCTCCCATCTTCCCTGTAGCAACATTTGGATGTGAGTCTTGGACTATCTCCCATCTTCCCTGTAGCAACATACGGATGTGAGTCATGGACTATCTCCCATCTTCCCTGTAGCAACATTTGGATGTGAGTCGTGGACTATCTCCCATCTTCCCTGTAGCAACATACGATGTAAATCGTGGACTATCTCCCATCTTTCCTGTAGCAACATATGTATGTGAGTCGCGGACTATCTACCATCTTTCCTGTAGCAACATACGGATGTGAGTCGTGGACTATCTCCCATCTTCCCTGTAGCAACATACGGATGTGATTCGTGGACTATCTCCCATCTTCTCTGTAGCAACATACGGATGTGAGTCGTGGACTATCATCCATCTTCCCTGTAGCAACATACGATGTGAGTCGTGGACTATCTCCCGTCTTTCCTGTAGCAACATACGGATGTGATTCGTGGACTATCTCCTATCTTCCCTGTAGCAACATACGGATGTGATTCGTGGACTATCTCCCATCTTCCCTGTAGCAACATATGGATGTGATTCGTGGACTATCTCCCATCTTCCCTGTAGCAACATACGGATGTGATTCGTGGACTATCTCCCAGTCCTTAAGAAAGAAAAAAGGGGCTTTGAAGCCAAAATGCTATAGAAAGATTCTCAGAATATCATGAACAAAGAAGAGAAATACTGATATTTTAAAAGATCTGAACAAAAAAAAGGTTGACCAATAAACAGTTTTTTGTCTTGGAAGATGAAATATTTTTGTCATATTAAGCGCCATAAAAGAATCTGATATATATATAACATATAATGACACAACAGGACAAGGAATGAATGAATGATTTCCTAAGACTGATTATTAAACAAAATCTTATACAAAAGTTATAAAACCAACTTTTTTCATCATCACGTTTTGTAGAGCCATTTTCTCCAGTCCAGGGGGTATCAAAGCAACAGTTTCCTGAAATAATATGACAAACCAGATGTAACCGACGAGGCTAGACCTTTGTTGTGTGTACAACAAGCTCTGCATATACAGCTTGTGGCAAACCTGAGCCTCCATTGTTAAAAATCAGTTAAGCATGACAATCGACTTACTAATAATAAATAGTTTCTCCGTCTTCTTGGCATTCATCACCTGTAAACTCTGGCGGGAAGTTCTAGACCCACTTCTGGACTTCAGTCTTGTTCCAGAACCTGAATTATGCATTTACGAACAGGACACTGCAGGCTCAACTACCACATGCATATAGTCACCACAGTGTGCCTGTCAAACAGGACCACAAACACCTGAGAACATTTTGCAGACCTGCCCACTCTACCTGCAACTTCGAAAAGACACCTGGCCTCAAGAGCAAAGTGTGCAGAGCAAGCTAGGGGGAACCATGAAGGACCTGCAGTTGACATGCAAGTTCATAGAGGCAACCCGTCTGATCTGAGCATACGAAAACCGAACGCAAAGAAGACGAAGAAGAATTTTGCATGCACATCAACTTTACAGATCTGGCTTATTTTTATGCAGACTTGTTTCCTTGCCTCTGAGGCAGATGCACACCCACTTTGAAGGAAACATTAATAATTAGCCGACTTTTATAACATGTTTGATAGGGGAGCATCTCGCTTATTCTTCTTTTCTTCTCACAATGGGACCCTGGAAACTACAGGGGGAGTAAACAATAGTATGTGCTGTATTCTTCAGTCATGATCATAGTTACAGAACTTGCTCCTATCACAGCACACGAAAGAAACTGTCCCTCGCCAGCTCTCCTGCTTCATGCACATTCCTGTCTCTTATTTCCTGTGTCCATCTTTGTGCTCGTTCTCCCTGCCCCTCTTACTTGATACCACGCTCTCTACTACTGTTTTTTTTCAGTTAACTGTGGAGTTTGACACGGCTACCGTATTTCAGTTTCCGAGACAATATGTTATTTACGTACCGATTGCCCTTGATGTTCAGGTATTTAAGGATGTCAGTATTTATTTTCTTCCTAATTCATTATATTCTAAGGTGGTTCTAAGACTGCTCTTGAGTATGTATCCAAATATTAGACTGTGTAATAAAATAACGCAAAAAAACTCATGGCAGTTAAGATGTGGTTTTTAAAAATATTAACCTGGGCTCGCTCAGTTGCTTGGTATACTGTGAAATCTTAGGACATCAGTGACTCATAGTATTTTAAGATTGTTCTAAGGCTGTTGTTCTATTGTATGAATGCAAATACTAGACTTTATGTAGTAAAATAGCAGAACAACTGAAAGCAGTAGAGATGTGGTTTAAACAAAATATGTACCAGGAATCGCTCAGCTGCTTAGTATGCTGTGAAATCTTCATCAGTAACTTCCTTGATCCATTTTCTTCTAGGTCTCCCTCTGCTTCCTGGTGTTTCTTATTCATTTAGTGAGCTCCTGATGGTTGGCATCATTGGGTTCACTCTTTTCAGGTGACCAAACAATTTAAGTCTTTGTTTCTCAATGAATATGATGTGTAGATATTGTCCCAATAGTTATAATCTTCCCTGTATGGGTCACGTGGTCCAATTGTGGGAAAAACAAGAACAGACCCACTGCCTCCCAAACAAGCATGTAAAAGTTGACTAATTAGAGGGGCTTCCTTCTAAGTCAGAGTGCATCTGCCTGAGAGGTAAGGAAGTAACAATCTGCATACAAATAAGTCAGATATGTAAAATGGATGTGCATGCAACACTCAGGTTCTGAAACAAGACTTCAAGTACAGAGGTGGTGAAACAATCAGAACTTTCCGCCAGAGTTTACAGCTGTTGAACGTAAAAAGGATGAGTTACAATCTCTTTATTCCTCAGACAATGTTTTCTGGTTTAGTTTGCAGCATTTCTTAAGCATCTGATTTCATAAGTGGTTGATTTTTCTCTTGAATTCTTTGGTTAATGTCCAAGTCTGACACTGGTAGCTAACCTAAACTTGGTATAAAGACTGTAAACTGGTACCTAACCTAAATTTGGTATAAAGACTGTAAACTGGTAGGTAGCCTAAACTTGGTATAAAGACTGTGTAAACTGGTAGGTAGCCTAAAATTGGTATGAAAACTAAACTGGTAGGTAACCTAAAATTGGTATGAAAACTGTAAACTGGTAGGTAGCCTAAAATTGGTATGAAGACTGTGTTTCCATAATTTTGGTCTATCAGAGTTAAAAGGACAAAGAAAAAGAACAATATGACTGTGGTAAACAGGAACAGCTGCTAAACCTGTAGGTTTAGTTTTGACAACCAAATCACACCTTAAGTGTGTTTTTACTTTTCAAAAGTAGAACGGAGATTACACTAATTAATTTTTTTCAATATGTAGACATAATGAGATAAACTGCATTTATGATGGTAAATGTGTATAAATCAATAAAAACCAAATGGGGAAAGAACAGTCAGAAATGTCTTTTTGAAGCTGAGTCTACACTTATGATTCGATTTTCTAATTGCCTGTTCACCATCCAAGTTTCTGCACCGTACAGCAGGGGTGAGTACACACAACATTTTAGGATCCTCATTTTGGATGTTTTTATCTCTCTAACTGCCAATAATATTCACTTCTTCTTGAAGACAGTCTTTGGTAATCTTGGTAATGTTAGTTTCAGCTTCAGAGCAAACGAATCACCCCATAGTTGCTCCGCTCCTGTGCCAACAAAAAACAACAGAATGTTTATCCCAGTCCTTTGTGGGAAGACAGTTTTTACTCCTCTTTTTTAATCTTCATTTTTGGTGAGTAATTTTGTTGTGTCTAACTGTTGCTATTTGCTCCCAGTATAAATTACTAATAATTCCCACTTCCTTTCCATCTAATTCTGGAGGCATGCAATAAGCTTTTCAAAGCTGCACCCCGTCCAAGGTATTCTTGTAATCTATAAAACATGCATAAATACTTTTCTGAACTTCCATATATTTTTGTCAGCATCTTTAGGAAATTGTGACTTTTTTTCTTTTTCTGAAACCCACTTTGTATAGGACTTGTATTTATAAATCGTATACTCCAACCAAAAAGAGTTTTTACCTCTGCAGATTTACATATGATATTATTCGCCAGACGTATTCTCTCTCTGCCATATTTTCCGAGCTCAGTCTCTATTATGTGCTCCAGATCTTCCTGATCTTCCTGTGCAGACATACAAGTTTAAGTTTTAATGACACAGAACTTCTGTACCATACACATAACATTTTATGTTTTCATAACAATGAATTTCTGTCCATAGACATTGTCAGAGACCTACTTCACTGCCGCCAGGGTAAGAAACTCGTTGGCAGATCCATGACAGAAAAAAGGTCTATTCCTAAACACAATCGACCAACACAGTGAGAGCATACACACCAATCTTTAATGCAGTTCATAATAATCAAATGCGGCAGTTCACTCGTGCGAATGTGGTTCGCGTTACCAACCCAATCACTCAGCTGCCCCTACAGTACTGTACCGGCCTTATGGCCGTGACCAGGGTCCAAACCAACAGACTCCGTTAAAGCTCTTTCTGACGCTACTGTGCCTCACACTTGGACCACAGCGCTACTGCACATCTTTGGCCAGAGTGAGTCAACAGACCATGTCACGTAACCAGATCAACTCTTCAAAGACTGCCTCGCTAACATCTTACTGAATACATAAATGAATACTGTTATAAATACCCGTAAAAACCTACCTCTTGCTAACACAGACTAACACCTGAATCATTCTACCATCATGCTAACACCCAAACACAAAGCTACCTGTCCCTAACATCAGTCGAAACATAAAAACATCTAGCTGTCAAAACAATACATCCTGTCCCCAAGTCGGTCTCTCTCCAACCTTCCTTCAACTTCTGCTCAATACTGAACAAAACTCTCGGGAAAACCAGTTGCTTCGTCACATTTGTTTAGTCACAAGTTCACTATTTATCATCATCATTTGCAATCATCCCATAGCCACATAGGACCCTGACAGACACAAGTTTATGTTTTAATGACTACAAAATATATAAGATTATGTTAAAAAAAAAAAAAAAGAACTTCATGTAGATATGCAAGATAAGGTTTAAAAGACTTCTTGATTTTTCTGAGCACGGAAATAAATGTTTATCTTGTAATAACAAACAGGGCTACACTGTTCACTCACCTTTTAAAGCTATTGTGTAACAATTATATTTTCAAATAAAGGTAAATGTTAATGACATGAAAGAATTGTAAAAGCTCCACCTCCTTATGCAATGATCATCTGATATAAACCTTAATGTTCAAAGAGATAAAAAGAATAACTACCCTTCTTGAGATCAAACCATGGGGCCACTGGGTTGATAAGTGAGTGCACTAAACAGAACTTTATAATGGCAGCCGTAACAGCAGCTAACAGTAAACAAAATATGACACATAAAAGAAATAATACGTTACCCAATTTTGAATTATATTTTTGTACCTACCTGGTTTAAGTTTTTCACACTGTCTATTTCCATAAGTAATTTTGAGATAATCAGTTCTTTCACTGGATACTCTTTGTCCTGTTGGCAACCCAAAAAAAAAGCAGGTAATTATTTTTGTGAAGACAAAAAAAAATTAACTCTGTCACACTGAGAAAGCTGTTTTTCAAGTAGTGGCCACAACACCTATATAACGGCCCTGGTACCGGCTGCAGCTGCGTAGTGTGTAGACATAGTTTGAATTATTATATTAAGCATACATCTGTTTAAGATATCAGGGGCACACAATTTTATGCTTTTGTAACCATCTAATCAAATGGCTTCCTCCTTTGGGGGTTCTATTCTAGGCTCTATTATTGCCGGGGGGAAAAAAGGGGGGGGGATGATAATCACACTGGGGAGATTCCTTTGAAATCAGTCTAAATTTAAAAAAAGCTTTATCAGTATAAAATCAATGTGCATGCAAAACTCAGTTCTGGAACAAGTACAAAGTCTAGAAGTGGATGAACAACCAGAACTTTCTGTTGCAGTTTACAGTTAGTGAACTAAGAAGAAGAAGAAATGGCTTCCAAATTGAGTCTTGCTTTTTTCCCACCTAAAAAGTATCTTCAGAAACCCCCATTATAGAAATCTCTTTGTTAAATATTCAGTCTTCAGCCTCGTGGAAATCTGACAACAACTCTGAATTTACTTCCAAGCTTAAGACTACCCAGTTTGGGAGAGGCTAATGTAAATGCAGCAAATATCTTGTTACTTATGACTTGTGTTGCTGACCGCATCATTCATCTTGTGCCGACTGGTCTATATAATATAGGTCTAGCCCTATATGCCCTATACACCTAAAGGGCATGGAAAAGGGTCCTTTACTTTACTTATGACTTGCTGTACGTATCGATATCCTAGCACATGGGTCTGACCAACGTGCTTCGTCCTCTGATACAGCAACCATCTGGGTGTGTCCATGCTCAACGTATCCAGTAGGAGTTGACTGGTATATTTTCTTTCATTGCTCCGCAACTGGTTTCTGCTGTTCTCATTTAGTACCTATTTCTAGCTGGCAGTTCATTGTCACTGACTTTTTTTGTCTCAACTTCTCTGGACTGCAGTGCATTCAACAAATGGCTGCAGAAGTCAGATGTGTTGGCTAAAAGGTACAAATATGGACTGCAGTGCATTTAACAAATGGCTGTAGACGTCAGATGTGTTGGCTGAAAGGTACAAATATGGACTGCAGTGCATACAAGTTGCTGCAGAAGTCAGATGTGTTGGCTGAAAGGTAAAAATATGGACTGCAGTGCATTCAACAAATGGCTGCAAAAGTCACATCTGTTGGCTGAAAGGTACAAATATGGACTGCAGCGCATTCAACAAATGGCTGCAGAAGTCAGATGTGTTGGCTGAAAGGTACAATAATGGACTGCAGTGCACACAAGAGGCTGCAGAAGTCAGATGTGTTGGCTAAAAGGTACAAATATGGACTGCAGTGCATACAAGTGGCTGCAGAAGTCAGATGTGTTGGTTGAAAGGTACAATAATGGACTGCAGTGCACACAAGAGGCTGCAGAAGTCAGATGTGTTGGCTGAAAGGTACAAATATGGACTGCAGCGCATTCAACAAATGGCTGCAGAAGTCAGATGTGTTGGTTGAAAGGTACAATAATGGACTGCAGTGCACACAAGAGGCTGCAGAAGTCAGATGTGTTGGCTAAAAGGTACAAATATGGACTGCAGTGCATACAAGTGGCTGCAGAAGTCAGATGTGTTGGTTGAAAGGTACAATAATGGACTGCAGTGCACACAAGGGGCTGCAGAAGTCAGATGAAAGGTGCAAACATCGCAACTATGTTATAAACGGGCGCAGCACATTTACATCTTTGAATGAACGCAAAAGAAGAAAAAGGAATATCTGCTCTGCCTATACTTTTTCCTCTATCAACCACTGCAGACACAGCCAGTCTGTCAGTTCTTTCTTTTCCTTATATCCTGGCATATCCCAGCGTGTACAACCAAGATAGTTTCTTGAGTTGGAACTTCTGGATGCTGTCAACCCATTATAGTCAGAGCAACTGTGACTGTACATTCACTGCTGAATCCAAAAATCATAAATTTTCTGATAAGAACTGAAAAGATTAACTATTTTTAGAGAGTCATTGCAGACTGTTAATGAGATTCAATATTTATTTAATTAAAAATTATTAATTTTAAAATAGTATGGTGATTTTTTTTGTTTTTTTGTTTTACTTCAAAATAAAAAATTGAAAAAAATAACAAAACAAATTAGTGATAAAAGATAACTTACTTTATAATTACGTAGAAACTGCACCTCTTTTTGCTTTACTCTGAGTTTTCTGTCCAATTTATCAACAGCTTCCTCCAGTGCTATTGGTAAAAATGGATGACAAATATTTTGTTTTTAATCACAAACCATCATATTTCATCACATGCAGTTATGTTGATAAATTACTGATGTAAATGCTAACTAAAAAATACTGTAGCAAAAATATATATATATTTACAAATGAAGGGAGTCGCCGTGGCAGAATGGCTAGATGCTCGCTGCGGATCAGAAAGTTGTGGGTTTGCTTCCTGGCAGAGCCAGACTTTTTTCAAAAATGACCTTGGCTCCCAGGTCGACCCAGCCTTGAGTGGGTACCGGGTGCAGTCCCGGGAAGGTGGCCAGCGTGATGCTGATCACATCACCCATATTATGCCGACTGATCTATAAAATATAGGTCTAGCCCTATATGCCCTATACGCCTAAAGACATGGAAAAGGGTCCTTTACTTACAAATGAAAATGTTGACAATTTTTGTGTAATTAAAATAACATTTTTCAATGGGAACTGAAATTTGACAAATAACGTATCTAGTCTGCAGTATGTAAAAACGGAATTGCAAATTGAATGCAATATATATATATAGATATATATATATATATATATATATATATATATATATATATATATAATATATATATATATATATATATATATATATATTTGTACTAGGGCTGTACCGTATATTCGCTTCGTATTCGCTTCGGGGTCGAATAGTGGACTTAATAACTATTTGGTATTCAGCCGAATACTTGCAGTCGGGCCGAATATGAATAGTGGTTACCTTACACCAGTTTTGCATACACTGCGATGGACTGAAATAACTCTCTCATTAACACAATAATTGCTGCTGCCTAAGTCTGTCGTAGCGGGGGAAACTGCAACCTGGTTGCGTGGTACAGCAGCTGGCAAATTCTTTGTCTGCTGACTCGACCGAAGCATTACAGCAGAGGTTCTCAAACTGGGTGCGTATGCCAGGGGTGCCGTGGCGAAAATCAAGAAAAGTCGGCTATAAATTGTGACATTATTAAAGAAGGCATGAAGATACTTAAAAGTTAAAATTTAAATTGTTTTTCCTCGCCACTGTCGAAAAGAGTTTGTTTCCTTGTTTCACACTCAAAGTGTACGATACTGCATAAAATGCCAACCGCAGCGTGCTAAAAATTGTCTTTGTATTTATCTCGAGGTCCGACCGATCCTCCGTCTGTATTCAGAAGGTCCAGCTGATAAGTAAGGTTGTGATTACATTTTGGCTGAAATTTTAAAATGGAAAATGTGGTCTGTACAATAGTCACTGTTAGCTTTGTCAAGTAAGCACTTAAATGTAAAGGTAATGCGTTGTGCGTCCTGGACAATCGGTAGGCAGGCCAAACAATTTCTTCAGGCCTCAGAGATGTGGTTTTACAGAACAATGCTTACAATACCCTGGACAGCCAAAAAAAAGCAACCATGAGGTTTTGAAAGTTGCAGGAGCGAGAGAAGATTGTTGACAGTCTCGTTGCATGGCATGGAGGTGTGTCAGCACACGAACTAATACATGCTGCAGGTGATTGCAGATTGTGGCGAGGCATATTCACCCACGCCAGTCGGCAAGGCACCTGACGATGATGATACACTATTGGTATTCGGGCAAATAGTTGGTCCCGCTATTCGTATTCAGCCGAATAGTGAAAATCACTATTCGGTACAGCCCTAATTTGTACACACACGAGGTTTCCCCACCCCTCCACACAGACATAAACACATATTTTTTTTAAAAAAAGGAAAATATTTGCAAATGTTACTTTTTATTTTTCTCTGAATTATTTCTGTGGTTTGCTCCAGTTCCTGTTTCACTTCTGAAATCTCTTGAGCAAAAAGTGAGTTCAGAGCAGCTCCACTTCCCTGGAAACAGAACGGAGCAAGGAACATTCGTGTGTTCTCCGTCAAAGTTTTATTTAACAATTGAATTTCTTTCACAAAATAATAATTTGACTTGACGTGACCAATAGTGATTAAACAAAATATAATAGGGCTGCAATTTTCTTCTGATTACTGTTCAATTTTTAAATTATTCCAATCAAAAACAAAAATGGAGGTAAAAGCAGTCCCATACTACCACTGGAATGTTAAGTGCTTCACATATTCTAGGTCATGATATAATAAGATGGTGAGGCCAGTTATTGCCCTTATTCCCTCAATATTTTACGAGGCTGTGTTGACCATACAGCTGTTACGGTTTAAAAACAAAAACAAATTATCCTGCCTCTGGTGAGGATTGAACTTTGACCATTGTCCTGGCAAAGAAGAACCACAGCTATTAATCCACGAGTACACAGAATGAAAATTGTGACTCCTTCGATCCCAAAGGTTTTGTTTAAATATCATTGTTTTATTTATTTATGTATCTTTTCAGGACATTGCAGAATCATCCTCAATATTTTCTGCACGGTTTCACTGGACAATAGTTTGCCATTGCTTTCTGATGCTTCATACTATTGTCAAAATGTGGTCTACTGCCAAATCACCTCATTTGGAATTGGACGGGTATTTTGGAATTACACAATGCATTTACAACATCGGAACTTGTTGCATTTTCCGTCCCAAACAAACCGTGGTTGGTCTTTCATTCATGCTTGGTGACCTGTAACACACACTAGTCTATGTTACAGGGGTGTTGTACTTACATACAACAAGTCATAAGTAACAAGATCAGGTTCTGTTGTCTTCACGAAGAGGTTTCTATATTGTGCGTTGTGTGAGCAGCAAGCTACAAATTGTGTTTTACTCACTGTGAACGGCTGGCGACATTACGTATATTATAGCTTTTCTTGGACTCCATGTCAGCGTTGACAAGCAACAAAGAAAGCTGCAATTGCTTTTCTGCAGCAAACAGCTTTTTAGGGCGCACAATTCTGAAACCATGGGATCGAGGCTGCGCTCTCTCGTGGGACATAGGCTGAGCCTGTTGGGGGGGGGGGTTGGGGTTAGGGCCAGATCTAGATCTTGTGGGGTCGGTTAAAAGTGGTCAGATCGTGTAATATAAAACACGGGATATTACCGGTGACAGCACAGAAGAAAATAGAATATGACAGGGGATGTAGGCTGCATTCGCTCGTGGGATGTAGGCTGAGGCTGTGGGGTAGGGAGATTAGGGTTATGGCCAGTTCAAGGTGTTATGTAAAAGTGGTCACATCATGTACTATAGAACATGCAACATCACCGGTGAAAGCATCGAAAAACAACACTAGGTGACACCCCTGTAACATAGACCAGCGGGTGTGATAGGTCAAAAAGCATGAACGAAAAGCTAACCATGGTTTGTCTGGGGTGAAAAACGTAAGAAGAAACCACAATGTCTAAACCACAGATGATGATATTAATCTATATACAGAAACTGTACTCACTTGAAATGTCTCATACTTTCTGAGCAGTTTCTTCACTTCTGCATACACAGCCTGTTCCTGACTTTCAATTCCTCTGATTATATCTAGATTCATTTCAATGCTGAATTTCATGTTAAGAAAGAAATATTCACACTATGTAATAAAGTATTTCAGTCTATTAGCTCTCATGATGCCAGTGATCAGTGGTGATTTAAACAGATTATGAATTTCGTTGTTGCTTCTCGCTCTCCATTCCCGGCTGTTTGCAACTTTGATGGGTCTAAAGATTCATCGTCAAACTCTGTTTTTGAAAACCTGTAATAAAGCTTCATCTCTTTTAGTTGTGCTCCAAGTTTGAGCCATGTAACACGACTGGTCTTATTAATGTTTTATATATTTTGATCTTGGTGTTGCCAAACAGACAATTTGACTTAAGCAGATATTGAAGGGCATAGTATACTTTGTTTCCAGATTGTATTCTAGATTGTATTTCCTTCTCTCAGCATGTTGGAGCAGTTAAAGTTTGCACCCAAGTACCTATATGTTTCCATTTGTTTGATTTTCATATTATAAACTTGAATGTGGCCAGAGTTTATATCCTTTCCCTGTCTTGCTGCTGAAAATGGAGATGGAGCGCTTATGAGAGCATCCGAATTCTGTGATTTCGATGCTTAATTCAACATTCAACATTTATTTGCTTTTTGTTCTTGGAGAAAAAGAAGGAGAAGACGCTTATTATAAATCAAGAAAAGATATAGACCCGAACGAAAAGTATATTAGCAAGTATAGTATAGTATATTAGACTTAATTATAAATCATAATTATTTGTGTTCTTTTCTTGGCGAAATATATAAAACATTGTGAAAATAAGGATACAGCTCTGTTGACCTTTTTCTGTAGAGATCTGCTGTCTGTCTGCAGTGTTTTATTTTGAGCTGGAGGGCAATAAAGAATTAATAGAGCATCTTTTTAAGTCCTTGCATAAAGTTAAAGGGTAAAGGTTAAAGTCAAAAAGATTGAATTCAATGCCCCAGGTTATCCTATTTGGCTCTCTCTCTCTCTCTGCAGAATGGCTAACTGCCAGCCAAAAGTGTCAAATGAAGTACAAACTCTGAAGGTCCAACAACAATCCCCAGGAATCACCATAAAAACTTCATTTGTGAACTGAACGAGTATGTAAAATGAACACATGACCTTCAGAGCAGGAGGCAAACAGCTTGACAATTTCACCACAGAGACCCCTAGATGGATAGATCTAAGGGCAGGTATCATCAAAAACACTATCAAATACAAAAATAAATAACAACAATTTTTGCCTGCTATGTATTGTACAAAACTGTGCCAAAAGTAAGTTTTGAACTGCTTTTGTTTAAATTACAGATATTCACTGGGAAACCTGAGTATAAGCAAGGAACAAGATTCTGACAAATATTTAACAACCATAATTTATCTTCACAATTTCGACAAGCTCAGTCTCATATAAGGGGTACAATATGAAAAGATTAATAATGCTCAACCCTCCCTCTAGAGCAGAGGTTCTCAAACTTCCTATGCCGCAACCGTTTCATACAGTTCCTCGTGTTGTGATGGACCCCTAAACATAAATTATTTTCGTTGCTACTTCATAACTTCAGTAAATATGTGTTTTCCGATAGTCTTAGGTGACCCCTGTGAAAAGGGTCATTTGACCCCCAAAAGGGTCGAGACTTACAGGTTGAGAACCCCTGGTCTAGAGTAATATCTTGTAATGTAAAGAAGAAACATAAAAATGAAAGAACTCATGGGTACAATAAAAATCTTTGAATAGTTCAAAACTGAAAAGAGCAGACCTTAAGGATATTCCCTGGTGTTAAGTAATGGCTGTTTGAGAGAGAAAAAGATTTAATTAAGTTAAATAACAAATGCCTAAGATGAAAATAGGATATGCCTCGGAAAATATGGAGGGATGGCATTAAGAACAGCCTTACAGAAATGAACATCAGTCTTAATAATGCTCTTGACAGAGCTCATCAACTAATATTACATCTTCCCCCGACATTTCGATGAGGTACAAGGTGGAAGAAAGGAAGAAGAAATAACAAATAACTTTCAGAACACAAACCTCAAGTACATCAATTATTTCTTTCTGCTTTCTTTTTTCATCTTCAAGCTTAGCCACTGACTTTTGAGTTTTACCAGCTGATGTTGAAACACATCGTGAAGGTCGTACTCTAGGTACAGCACCAACTTTGAAAGTTATCTTGGCTTCTGTGATAAAAAAGATGACAACAAATTGTTGGGAAATACTGCAGCAAAGCCAGTTCACATTTACTTGTCACTTCATGTCAACAGGACTGGTTCATTTAAATTCATGATGTTGATAAATTGGCTAGAACGGGAATATGATCATGTTTTTCAGATGCCTGTTTGGAACATATATTGTTATTACTCTTCACTTCTCTACGTCATCTAAAATTTTAATCAAGTTTATATTGTTTTGAATATTATTTGTTGCCAGCTGTTTAAAATGTCCATGTAATCTTTCTCTGCATCTCTTACCTGGCAGTTGGCCTCTTTCCATCTTTACAGGTAAGTAAAAGACCTCTTTCCATCTTTACAGGTAAGTAAAAGACCTCTTTCCATGCCTTTAGGCGTATAGGGCATACAGGGCTAGACCTATATCTTATAGACCAATCAGCAATAGATGGGTTATGTGGTCAGCATCATGTCGGCTGCCTTTACTTCCCGGGACTGCACCCGGTACCCACTCAAGGCTGGGTCGACCTGGGAGCCCAGGTCATTGGCTCCGCCAGTGAGCAAACCCATGACCTTCCGATCTGCGGCGAGCATCTAGCCCCTTCGCCCCGGTGACTCCCATCTTTCCAGGTGAACGTGTTAAACTGTGCTATGACGAGTAATGGCAGTCACAGCCCATGGTCATGGCAAGTGTTACTAGCAAGACCCGTTCACGTTAAGAAACGTCTTCAGGACTGATGATGCATCATTTGAATTTAGTCCGTTTCTTCTCAGATGCCCAACTCTCATCTTTTCTGCAATAATTTTCCTTCATTATCATTCCCTTCCTTTGCCCCCTCCATGCAACAGAGTCCATGGCATTTGGTTTCTTGGAATCTACCTCAGTACATGTATCATTCATGTCCTGCATATACATATTTATTTTGTAGTAGAGGCTGGCCTCAACATCTTCTTCCCATCTGTAATTCACTATAGAGGATGTCTTTAGGGACTCTACCATCCTTAATTCTCCAGGTGTCTAATGTCTTCAGGGACTAAGTACTGAGAACACTTTTGTAATACCTGCTCTTTCTAATATCTGAATGTTTGTGATTTTGTCTTGCTTCCTATTGGAAAGTATTTTTCTTAGGCTATTTTTTGCGTTACAGCTGTTTTGAGTGATGTAATATAATGTAATGCACCTTCTGTTGTTGTTGAAGCCAGCCTGCTGTTGTGTTTCTTGCCAGCCTAATGCCCATTAAAGAAAAAAAAATTTAGGTGCAGATTCTGTGTAGCTGTTTAACGGAAGATTGCTTTGTAACTCTGAAAGATGGCTTTCCATGATGTTTTCATAAGCTTTCTTTTTTGTGGGGACGTTTCAGATCAAATTAGTTCAGCCAGTCATTCTATTTGCCTATTTGTTCATTTAGTCTTCTTCTGAATTGCTACACAAAATATGCTTGATTGTTTAGGAATATTTACCTTTGACCTTTGAAATTCAGTCAGATTAAATGTGTTTCTTCTTCTGAATTGCTACACAAAATATGCTTGATTGTTTAGGAATATTTACCTTTGACCTTTGAAATTCAGTCAGATTAAATGTGTTTCTTATTTCCACCGCTTGGTGATAAATGGATACACTACAAGCTAGATGTTGTGCGGGTCCTTTGAACAGTCAGTGAACAGTGCAGAGGCACAAACAGATCATAGTGTTAAGAAAATGCTGCTGCTGGGAGTGACCAGAAGATTTGGTGATGCTCAACACTCAGGGGAAATGTAAGACAGACAGATGATCAAACTACTAGTGGCATCATCAGAAGTGGTACTCTGTATCGACTGTTGAAGATGGGGACGAAGTGCTTATGAGAATTTAGCCCCGAGTGCTACAGTGTTGGTTTTTTCCTCAACCTAACTCTACTGTGTCTTACCTGGGCCTGTAGATACTTGTGACTTTGCGTTCCTACTGCTCCTTTGCCACTGATCATATTTAGAGAAATGAACATTCAGTTGAGTTCCCAGAGATTTCAGTAATTCTTCATTGTCAGACCGAGACTGGTTTGCCTCTCCAAGAGCTTTGCTGCCACGCTTAGCTGCCATGGCACCTTTCATAACTGAGTGAAAAGAAATATTTTTTAGAAAAGGTTACGAGTGAATAATTTATTGAAAGTAGGTAAAGATACAAGGCGTGTTTTTTAAGTAAATCCTGGTATAAAATTAAAAAAAAAAAAACTTCATTAATAAAAATGATTTACTGCAGCCAAAACTGAACCACACATTTACATTATTTCTCAACATAGTCAGCACTAATTTCAACACATTTTTGGTAACGTGGCACCAGGTTCTTAATTCCAATGTCATAGAAGTCTGCCGCCAGTGTCTTGAGCCATTCATTTACGCCTGTCTGCAGTTCATCATCAGTTTCAAACCGCTGGGATGCCAGCCACTTCTTTAGATGCATGGAAAAGTGGTAATCACCTGGCACCAGATCAGGACTGTAGGACAGGTGGTCAACAGTGACATTTTAGCAACAATGAACAGTTTCATCTGTGATGCGAGGTCGAAGATTCTCATGCAAAAGCACAATTCCTGAGAAGAGCAACCCACGTCTTTTGTTTTGGCTGGCACTTAATCAGAATGTCACAATAAGCTTTGGCATTAACTGTCTTTTCATGTTCAAGAAAATCAATAAACAAGACCCCTTGTTTGTCCCAGAAAACAGTGGCCATGATCTTTTTGACAGGAGGTGCTTGCTTAAACTTATTTGCTTTCAGGGACTATGAGTGTAGCCAATGCATCGACTGTTGCTTTGATTTGATGTTTGTGTAGGAAATCCAGGCTTCATCTCCAGTAACAATCATCATTATCCTAATTAATTTCCACTTCTGCTTTTAAGTGTTGTGGGGAGAAACAGTTTATGATCACGTCATGATGGGCAGAAATGGGTATTGTCATTCATGTCCATGTAGAAGCTCTTTAATGTCATCAATCTATGTTCTCCTAGGGTGACCTTTTGCTTTCCCCTTCAGATCTTTTCATATGCAGTGCCTGCGTTTATAGCTTTTCTAGCTGCATTCTTACTAAAGGACCAAACTATCTGATCTTCTGTTACTCAATGAATTAGCTGCTTGGTGTGGTTCATACAGTCTGTCGGACAATATCATTTCTAACCCTTTCTCTGATGTTTAAGTTGGAGCCTTTTCTCAGGCATCTCATTTCACAGGTGTTAATTTTACGTAGGTTAGCCTTTGATAATGTCCAAGTCTGGCACTGGTAGCACAGTGTTGGTATGAATACGCTGTTTATAATCTGTGTCTTGGCGCTCATGCTTACGTTTGAATGTCTTAATAACGGTGTCAGTTGGTATATAAGTGCACTGGCTTGTTGGCATCTTGTTTCTATTTCCCATTCTATTCTTCCATCCTCTGAGAATATACTTCCAGTAACAATGTGCCCCAAAAATTCATCTCCTTCATTTTAATAGCGCTGCAAAAATTTTTGTTAGCCAAAGCCAGGTGTTTCTTCTTGCGTTCAACGGATAACATTTGTGGTACCCATCTGGCACACCATTGAAAAAAAAAAATCTAAGGTTTCTTGTCACAATATCGTGAATCAGTGAACATGAAATTTCCTAAAATTCGACAGACAACGCAGAAATTGTAAAACAGCGATTTTCCTGCATTTTTTTGTTTCACTTCTTCATCCAAATCATCTGTCACCACACTCAAACTCCTCATAGTAAAATGTTATGACATGCTTGTTAGGGAGACATTTAATCTTTTCCCTCTTCCCCATCCTTGAATGGGTTGTGTGTGTGTGTGTGGTGTGGGGTGTGTGGGGGGGGGGGGGGACAAAACAAAAAAATAAAGCAACAAAATGTAATCAACAGAAATAAATAAGGTCAACATAAATGTTTCTAAACTACATAGAAACATTAATATCAACTACGTGCTTCACAGAGGTACCATTCATTGGATTATATGTTTGGCTATCCTCCGAATAACGGTCCTAAATTATCGAGGTGGAAAAAATACCCTAACAGGGCCTCAGTCACGTGTCAATTGCGCACTTCCGTCGTCTTAAATTGCGCACCTCCAGCGACTTCTGGCACCGCTGAGAGTATCCCCCACATTGCTCACGAGGCGTGGATTGGGACTAAACTAGATGGCTGGGACTCACGAGCAGCAGCTACCGTGGCTCTCCTTTAAACTACGGCCGGTAGACAACAGTAGACGGCTGGTTAGTTGGAGTTCTGTCCCCTTGCTGCAGTGCAATTACGGAGTGGAAAGGAGGGAATGAAACTAATGACATAATTACTGTGTGTTGGCGATAGACAGCGTGCACTGCCCTGCTATAATCATACGGTTACGGTTTGGGTTAGGGTTAGGGGTAGGGTTAGGGTTTGGTTTAGGGTTAGGGGTAGTGTTAGGGTAAGGGGTAGGGTTAGGATTAGGGTAACACATGTAACGTCGAGTACTTACCCATAATGACGGCCGCTATATCTGATAATTTTGAGGCGCTAACGACATAGGACGGTTGCACGAGCCACATACCTGCATGTTTCTTAAAACTCTATGCTCAGCTAGCCACCGCAAACATTCAAGCTTATCGCTCATTAAGGCATACAGATCTGGAGGTGTCACATCTACGGCCACTAAATCTTGCGTCGCAAAAACGCGGTCGCTAATGTGAGTCGCAGCGCGTGGTCTAGCTCTAGCAGCCATGTCGACGTCACTTTGTTTTGTGATTCGTACCTTTTCCACTCTGTAATTGCACTGTAGCCAAGGGACTGAACTCAGATGAACCGGCCGTCTACTGTTGTCTACCGGCCGTAGTTTAAAGGAGAGCTGCTACTGCATCTCCTGCAGCTTCCTACATTTTATTTGCTCGTGAGTCTTAGCCATCTATTTAGGATGGATACTCTCGGTGGTGGTGGAAGTTCGCAATTTGGCGGTGGCGTTATAGTCCTCAGAAATGCGCAATTGACGTGCAACTAAGGCCCTGTTAAGGTATATTTTCCGCCTCGATAATTTAGGCCCATTATTCGGAGGACAGCCATATGTTTTAATCTCTGTCCAGCTGTGATGGTTTCATAAGTAAAAACCCAATACATAAAACTTCACAAGCATCCCTAGTATTAGTATGCATGCATAAACCAGTTTCCATACAAATTAAGAGGATATGGCAGCCAAGTCCTACTAGGTACAGTGAGCACGAAGACAGTGAGATGGTTGCTGTATTGCACTATTGCAGGATAGACCAAGAATGGGTCGGACCGATCTGCTAGGCATAACAAATATAAAGTAATATGAAGTAACAAGAAGAAAGAATCAGAATAGCCAAGATCATTTGGCAGCGGACGTATTACTATTACTTTTAAAAGCTCGATCAGGAGCAAAAAGTTAGTATAGTTCAATGAAGTGTGCTGAATCCACTGGCATTATTGATAATAAAATATGCGCTTGCTGCTGAGGATGATATAGAGCGTTTATTTGAATGCCCCGAGTGCATGAATCAACAATTCCCGTTGTATCCAAACTCAGATATGTTTGGTAGCCATCTTAAGGGTTGCCGTAGTTATGTAATTAAAGGACTGGTTTAATAAATGTTTAAAAATTTGTTTTAATTTTAATAGATTTATTTTAAAAATAATATTGTTGAGAAAATTTTTTTTACTGGTAATACAAAAATATCCGGCAACAAATTATTTACCTCAAACAATTCACAATGATTTTCACACAGAATGTTATCCAATCCAAGAGTTGAGGCAGGCAGACGGGATGACATTTGGCGGGGAAGTCCAAGATGTCAGTCTCTGCTTGTCTGTGAATAAATAATATTTAATAAACTGTGAGAAGATCGTTTTCTCTTTCTTGAACTACAGCCATGAAACACATTGTATTGGTAGTCAGTAGCGGTAAGTGCTCTTTCTTTTAAATATATAGATCTTTCCCATTTTATGTGCAATATTTAATTTATTAAATATGTTGTGTTGTTTCGTTAGTCAAAAGTCGGCTATCCTCCGAACTTCGTCCTCATATTATGATGACCAAATAAAAACCCTAACAGTAACAGGGCCTCAGTCGTGTGTAAAATGCGGAGTGCCTGCCGAGGAACAAATCTCAGGAAAACTAGGATTGTCTCCGAATAACGGGCCAATATTAACAAGGGCAAACAAATACTCTAACAACAGGGTCTCAGCGATATGTTAATTCATAACTGCGGACCTGTTTTTGCCATTGCCGCACCGCCGACAGTACCCCAAGTAGATGGGGGGGGGGGGGGGGCTAAACTAGATCGCTGGGACTCATGAGCAAATAAATTGGAGGAAGTTGCAGGAGATGCGGTAGCTGCTGCTCGTGAGTCCAACCTATCTAGTTTAGCCCTCCATCCGAGCGCGCGGGGGATAGGCTCGGCGGTGAGTTTAATCGGAAGAACACTATCGCTCACCTGTGTATTGAGCACGTAGTCTCCCCACCATATCGCTATTATCGTGTGTATTGTTGTGTTTCTCGAAATTGTCAAAGGACAGTAATCCTAGTTTTTGTTGCGATGTATTCGTCAGAGGAAGTCCACATTTTACACATGACTAAGACCCTGTTACTAACAGTGTTAGGGTATTTGTTTGGGCCCCATAAAATGGGTACGAAGTTCGGAGAAGAGCCAAAAAGTCAATGATTTTTTTCTCTAGATTTGAAGTCTACCTTTGACTTTAGTTAAGTTTTTAGTCGAGGTTCCAAAATATCAAAATCACCGCAGATGGACGCCCCATAACTGTTCTGTGTGCCAGTAGAAATCCAAAATGTCCTTTATTTATTGCTGTCTATTTAAAAAAATTTTCAGAAAACTATTGAAACATCTTGTCAGTCCCATCTCATCAAAGCCATAATCTTGAAGCTCAGTTTGCACACGAAACATAGACGTAAATATGTCAGATGTACCAACACTGTTTCACGTCAGAATTGCACTGGTGACTGGTGCTGCAGAATGTCAGTTAGTTTTTCTTCAGCCATCTCTGGTCGTGCGCGTAATCCACTGTGGGCCATAAACTGGGATGTCCTCTCAAGGTTTCCTAGGTTTCCCTAAAGCTTAGCTGTCAGGTCTGCTGCGTGTGGCCACATGTGGCTTCGCAGCTCCATCAAGAGAGGACAGTCTTGCATGACATATTCTGGAGTGTTCAGCACAAAGACACTGGCAGAGAGCAGTTTGGCTCAATAGTGTTTGTAGAGTTACGCGTTCAGCGCGTAAGCAACAAATTTCGACTTGGTCTGTTTTGTTTAGGTGTTCGAGGGATAACCATTGTTGGTTTTCCCTTCCTTGGATAAAACATCAGCATTTTCATTGCCCTTGATGCCATAGCGAGATGGAATCTATTGCAAGTGTAAGTTTCTACCTTTTTTTTGACAACACAGCAAGCTCTTTGGTTAGACTCTGTAGTGTGCTGTCAGTAGTTTTGTACTCTAAAGCATGTTTGGCTGACAGTGAATCTGTGAGAAAAACCATTTTGCCTACAGGGTTTTGCAGCTTGTTCATATACTGTGCTGCCGTCAGTAGGGCTGAGAGCTTTACCTTGTAGTTAGAGCAAGTTTGTTCGGTGGGGGCTGCCAGGGACACTGTAGTGGCATCTGGGTGTTTTATGTAAACACCTGCCCCCCCACCATTCGTAGTTGCCTCTTTTGCTGATCCATCCGTGTAGATTCTCATCCAGCTGTCCTGTGGGAACATTTTATTAGGTGAGATGTTCCATTGTGAGTGCTTTCTTCCCTAAATTGGGCTTAGCATTTTTGTTTCCCAAGTTCAGGATGAAAGTTGAAACATTGAGTGTCAATGATTTTAAGTCTCAAAGATAGAAAAATAGCTCTTCCGGTGCACATTGTTGGTTTCGTAGTGAAGAGTGTGACTTTCCTAATTCGTTTATTAGATGGTTTAGGTTTGTGCACTTACGTTTTTTTTGGGGGGTCCTGGCTGCCAGTTTTTCTTGCAGTGGGCTTTTTGGCATCTTCTTAATTTTTTTTCTGCATGTAGGATTGCTTTCGTCCTTCTTTCTTGTAAGAGGTGGATGTTAGCTGTCTTTTAAATTAGGCGTAGATTTTCTGGCGCCCAGAATTGTACGCAGACATCGATTCTACATTTTGTCTAGTACCTGTTTATTGGAATGGGTTGTTGTGATCCATGACGATGATGCATATTCTAGAGTTGGTCTGAGTGTGCCGGTATTTACCTGCTTCATGATGCGACTGTCTGCTACCCAAGTGGTGCTTGCCAATTTCTTCATCACACTTTTTGTCAGTTACAAAAGCAGGCATTGCACCCACAAACGTGAACACCATTCCGGTAATAATCGGCCACCGCCCATTTTAGTAAGTCAACAACAAGCCACTGGCACAACAGAAAAAATTCCACATGAAATCCATAGCTCACAGTGTCACATCAAGCACTCATCTCAGTAGCTGGGCAACAGAATCTTTGGATTCTGGGTCAAGAAATAATGAAGTAGCATCATCAAAACCTAGCTGGAAACAAATACCTTTTCAGAGCATCAACGGTCAGCTGGCTGTCTGCCATTTTGGCTGGAAACTTACCTTTATTTTCAGCTTTAACAATAACATTATTAATTTTTCTTAATTATTCATAAATTACTGTAAATTACCATTGTATATTTGTCTTTCTTATGCAGATGTTACTGCCAGAGTGACAGCTCTACAGTGCTTGCAGAAGATAGCCCAGGGCAAGGAATATAATTCATCTTGTTTTAAGGACAAGACTTTTGTTCAGATAGTTACCTCTACACCAGAAGAAGATGAGGTAGCAGTTTGTGTTTATTATTCATTGTCATAAGCAACATTCACACAAAATTGCAGTTTATTGCCTGGCAGTTTTTGCTGTGTATTGCTAGCCTCCTTTTCCTCGCCTTTAGACGTATTGGGCATATAGGGCTAGGCCTGTATTTTATAGAATAATCGGCACTGGGTGGGTGATGTGGTCAGAATCACCCTGGCCGCCTTTACTTCTCAGGACTGTATCTGGTACCCACTCAAAGCTGGGTCGACCTGGGAGCCAAGGTCATTTTAAAAAAAAAGGCTGTTTCCGCCAGGTATCGAACCCACAACCTTACTTCACTCAAATATAACTGCCTGTTTTACCAGCAGGATCAAGTCCATGACCTTTTATCTGTACCAAACTAGAATGCACTGACAAGATGCAAATATAATGAGATACAAAGATCTGTGCTGGGCAATAAATTATGCAAACTGTTTGTGTAATCTTTGTATAAATTTCTTCTTCCCCACATTCACCAGCTGTAAACTCGCAGAAAGTTTTGGTCGTTGGTGTTGATGATCATATCTGTTACTTTTGGACAAGGCACAACGGAGATCACTCTCCACATCAGGCTGGCAGTGCTGTTTGGTTTTCATGACCGTCAAAGCTGAATATCCTGATTATTACAAAAACAGATGGACTCAGTTTCAAAATGGCTTGACGCTTCCCCTTAAACTTCCTCAAAACCCCCTCCAGATTGAAGAGCGCTGGTCTAGCCTTTCCTATGAGTGTTGGGTATCAGCCAGATTTCCTGCAAGATGTATTATCAGACAGGAAGTGGTCAAGCCTGCCTTGTTTGACTTGTAAACACATAGCATGTGTCTGCATTATCCATTTTCTGATGTAGTTAAAAACACTGAAGTTGACACCTGGAGCTTACACTGACATCTGGTAACTTGTACATTTGTTGTTTTGCCAGCTTGTTGACAACTCTGGCTCAAAAAATGATTGGCTTTCACTTGAAGACACCATCTCTGTGCTAACAAGAACTGGGAAGCAAGAAACTTCTGAGGAATGGTAAGCAGAATACATACTTTTTCTTGTCAGTGTTGAATGTTGAATTAAGAGTCGACAGCACTAGGGACACCCCTATAAGTGCTCCATCCCCATCAGCAAGCGAAGAGTTAAAATTCCGATAGTACCGGTAACTGTCTGATTGTATATCTGTCTCGCCTTTACCCTAAGTGTCGAGCATCGGCTAGATCCCCTTGTAACTCCTTGCAGTGCCATTCTCCTCAGACCGTAATGATCTATCTGTGCCTTGTTCACTCGCTCCTAAAGGGCCCTGACAACATCCAGCTTGTCATAAATCAGTTCCCCACCAAGTGGTGCAGAACCGGTCAGTCTATCTGCCTGCTCATTTCCCAACATACCAGGCATCACCTGGAGAAAATATCCAAAGAATGCTAACTACTCGGGACCTTTGAAGTGATGGTTGCTCCTCTGCACGGAGCATGCCTGTCTCCACCTTTCTCAACATCGACACGTGTGTACAGCTGATTCTCAAGCCAGCGGAAGCAGCAACTCCATTCTCAAACTAGTCGTTGTGATATCATATGCCAGGCTTTGTTGCACCAAGCGATGTCGATTCGCCTTCTCTATGAACGTTTTTATGTCAGTTAACAGCAGGACTCATCTTTGTTTGTTGGTCTTGTAGATCAGTAACTATCTGCACCTGATTTTTGTATGGCCATGCGGATCGCAATTTATGCTTTTAGCTGCTGAGTGTAAAATACCAAGTTGCTGCATTCTATTGCCTTTAATGGTGGTTCTGATGTGCAGAAGAGAAAAGGGCTCCAACAAATGACTGCCCATGCTTTCGTTAAATAAAAACTGCAAATTACTGCCTTTGTTATACCACTTTTGCAGGGGGGTGGGGGTTGAGCCTGAGTATTTACAGCCGCATGGCTAGGACTGTTGCCACGACTGTGCAGGTGAGGATTTAATTTTGCCCCCGACAAAAAAAATCCCCAGCCTTACCAAGGATTTGAATCAGGTCTGCTGTGTAAGAGCCCAACTTTCTAACCGTTCGGTCAGCCCTTCCTCATGCATCTTTTAAATAAATCAAGTTACTTAGTCTTTCCTCTTGAGCCTAGTGCGGTGCATCGTTGCCACCTGTTGTAGTTTTATTAGGCTCATGGTTGAGCCCTCTCTGATGATGGTCCTACGCAGGATCTCTCTTGATCTTCCCCATTTTCTTTTTTCTTCTGGTTTCCATATAATGGTTTGATGGGGAAATCTTGTCTTATTCATTCTGAGTACATGGCCGATGAATTTCCAACGGCGCACATTTACAGTCAGGGAAAAAAAATTCATCTTTAGTGAAATTGACGAAAAATTGGCAGCCAGAACAAAAAAACCGAATAAAGTGCACAAGCCTAAACCATCTAACGAAGGAACTTGGAAAGTCATTCTCTTCACTACTTAACCAACAATGTACACCTGAAGAGCTATCTTTCGATCTTTGGGACTCCGAATTTTTGACACTCAATGTGTCAACATCCATTCCGAACCTGGGAAAAAAAGATGCTTAGCCCGCTTTAGTGAAGAAAGCACTCACAATGGAACACCTCAACAACATGTTCCCACAGGACAGCTGGACCAGAATCTACACGGATGGATCAGCAAAAGAGGCAACTACGAATGGTGGGGCAGGTGTTTACATAAAACACCCAGATGCCACTACTGTGTCCCTAGCAGCCCCCACCGGACGAACTTGCTCTAACTACAAGGCAGAACTCTCAGCCCTATTCATGGCAGCACAGTATATGAACAATCTGCAAATCACCGCAGGCAGGATAGTTTTTCTCACTGACTCACTGTCAGCTATACAGGCCCTTGAGTCCAAACCTACCGACAGCACACTACAAAGTCTAACACATGAACTTGCTATGTTGTCAAATAAGGCAGAAATTCACTTGCAGTGGATTCCGTCACACTGTGGCATCAAAGGCAATGAAAGTGCAGATGCTTTAGCCAAGAAAGGCAGTAACAAACCACAGACCTACCAGCCACTATCTTTTCCAGAAGTCAAAACTCTCATCAAGAGAAAATCAGAAACAGATTGGAAAACCAACACTGGTTATAACTACGAAAAAGATTTTCTGAAACACTTGAACAGAACAGACCAAGTCACAGTTTTTCGCTTACGCACTGGACACTGCAGACTCAATAAAGACTCACATAAATTAGGTATGAGCCAAACAGCTCTCTGCCAGTGCCTTCGTGCTGAACAGACTCCAGAACATGTCCTGCAAGACTGTCCTCTCCTGGCGGAGCTGCGGAGCGATATATGGCAACACCCAGTAGAACTGACAACTAAGCTTTGGGGAAACCTAAGAGACCTTGAAAAGACATCCCAGTTTATGACCCACAGTGGATTATGCGCATGACCAGAGATCGCTGAAGAAGAATGAAGTTGACATTTGACAAAAAGACACACACCTGCCTGCCAATCTAAGACTCTTGAACCCATCTCATTAGGATCCAAAAACCTGGCTTGTGCAATAGTTGATATCTATTTTATTAATTTAAAACAAAAACAAAAACTTTTTTCCTTGTCGATTGATATCCTGTAAGATCTGAACACCTGGGAAGATTGGAAACTGAAATACTTTAGCCAAATGAAGCAGCGCAGCAGATTGAAACAAAAATAATACCAGAACGCATAGTATCAGGAAAGAAGGACAGGAGTTGACCAACATGATGTTCGATACAGATATAAGTTATACCGTGTGTAGGAAAGTGCATGGGGTGGGAGAGCTAGTGAGAAACCATGATTCTTTCAGGCAGCCTGTGATGACAGCGACGTTCTGCAAAGAACCCTGCTTCATGATGGTATCTGACTGAAACAAAGAAAGACTGTTTACATTGTGATCTGCATCCAGATTCACAGTTTTCATATAAACTTGTTAGTTCAGATCATGAGTTCAGATCCTGGCAGACCTTTCTTTTTTTATATACCTTGGTTCCCAGGTCAACCCAGCCTCCAATGGGTACCAGGGTAGTTTACTTTCCTAACATAAACATATACCACTTTTTTTTTTCCAGTATTGGTGGATCAGTTTCTTCAGCAATGGAGAATGTAGCAACGGGTCTTCATGATGCTGCAGACTCACTACCCTATCTAGGTAAGTCAGAAAACATCTCCAGACATTCTCCTTGAACTGTGGCAGGTTGTATTCAGTGGCTAGTGCACTAGCTGACTAATGCTGTTGTTTAGAGCTTCGGGGGCAACTCTTTATCTTAGAGGACAGGGTCAGATCCGTGGAGTGGGGGCCACTCTTTAGCGTGAGAGGACAGGGTCAGATCCGTGGAGTGGGTGCCACTCTTTAGCTTGAGAGGTTAGGGTCAGATCCGTGGAGTGGGTGCCACTCTTTAGCTTGAGAGGACAGGGTCAGATCCATGGAGTGGGTGCCACTCTTTAGCTTGAGAGGACAGGGTCAGATCCGTGGAGTGGGGGCCACTCTTTAGCTTGAGAGGTTAGGGTCAGATCCATGGCATGGATGCCACTCTTTAGCTTGAGAGGACATGGTCAAATCCATTGCCTGTGTGCCACTCTTTAGTTTGAGAGGACAGGGTCAGATCCATGGCGTGAGTTCTTGTTACGAAATAAGGACCTCTGGGATGGTATACCCCAGGCTTTTTTTTTTCTAGATAAAAATGTGCCGATACTCATCACAAAGTGTCAAAAATAAGTTGTTTTTACTCACTATAAAGTGTCCAAAAAAAGGTGTCGCTGCTCACCACATAGTCTCTCTTACAGTAGCACTGATGAAATTACGCGTAAAGAGAGGTGCTGGTACTGCACACAATAGCGTTCCACCAGAAAAAAGTTCTGGCACCCTCACTGATCCTGGGTTAGGTCATCAGATTCCTAGTCCTCGCACATAAGAGAGGAAAACACCTGAGTCTTGCATGCCCTGTTTCTCCGTGTGGGTTGTGGGGCCCCATTGTGGGGCGATGGGGGGAGGGGGGAATAACAACAAAAAGAATTGACCCATCACTACCCTAACAAGCATGTCATTGAAGTCAATTAGGGGTCTTTCCTTCAAAGTCGGAGTGTATCTGCCTGAGAGGGGAGGATCTAGCAGTGTGCATACAAGTAGGACAGATCTGTAAAATGATTGTGCATGTAAAACTTAAAGATCTGGAACAAGACCAAAGTCCAGAAGTGGATGAACAACCAGAACTTTCCATTTGGGGGAAAGCGGGGGGAAGGTGGGTTTGTTCATTCGTACTTTCTGCCTCATGGGGAAGTGTGTTTGTTCATTCATACTTTCTGTCTCATGGGGAGGTGGGTTTGTTCATTCATACTTTCTGCCTCATGGGGAAGTGGGTTTGTTCATTCATACTTTCTGTCTCATGGGGAAGTGGGTTTGTTCATTCATACTTTCTGCCTCATGGGGAAGTGGGTTTGTTCATTCTTACTTTCTGCCTCATGGGGAAGTGGGTTTGTTCATTCATACTTTCTGCTCTATGGGGAAGTGGGTTTGTTCATTCCTAATTTCTGCCTCATGGGGAAGTGGGTTTGTTCATTCATACTTTCTGCTCTATGGGGAAGTGGGTTTGTTCATTCTTACTTTCTGCCTCATGGGGAAGTGGGTTTGTTCATTCATACTTTCTGCTCTATGGGGAGGTGGATTTGTTCATTCGTACTTTCTGCTCTATGGGGAAGTGGATTTGTTCATTCATACTTTCTGCTCTATGGGGAAGTGAATTTGTTCATTCATACTTTCTGCTCTATGGGGAAGTGAATTTGTTCATTCATACTTTCTGCTCTATGTGGAAGTGGATTTGTTCATTCATACTTTCTGCTCTATGGGGAATTGGATTTGTTCATTCGTACTTTCTGCCTCATGTGGAAGTGGATTTGTTCATTCATACTTTCTGCTCTATGGGGAATTGGATTTGTTCATTCGTACTTTCTGCTCTATGGGGAAGTGGATTTGTTTATTCATACTTTCTGCTCTATGGGAAAGTGGATTTGTTCATTCATACTTTCTGTCCTATCTCTA